AAATATGCTTACACCTTTTATTTATTTACTAAACTGCCACCGCAGTTTTTATTTACATCGTTTCTTTAGAAACCGATGTAGATATATAGATGTAAAATAGTATTTTTCTAGTAGTGTCATCACCACCACACTAGTGTAAAATAACATTTTTATGATAGAGATTTTATGTCGGTGTAATCTACATAACATAAAATGTGGTGTAGTGACAAAATTGTAATATTTTCCAACATTTTTATGTCGTGTATAGATATGATTGACATAGAAGGAACATTTTATGTCAAGTGACACCCCACCTAACATAGAATGTGGTAGGATGAGTCAACATTCAATGAAGAGTTGGAAGATATATATCTGCAAAAGATGGGCATCCACATATGTCTTGAGTTAATTTGAGGATTGATTTATATTTTTGTATATTGTTTTAGTTTTCTTTGTGTAAATTGGTTAGTTTACTTTAAATTAGTTGTTACTTGATAATATTAGTACATTTTTATACTAATTATTCATAGTTATTAATTTATGACACTTATTGTAACTTTAACTTTATTGTTAACTCTCTTTAATTACTAACTAGTTTACTTTGTACATTATTTGAATTTAAATAAAAAATGTATTTTACAAAGGTTTGTATTGAATTGGACAACAATATGCTATATTGAATTATATATATTGTATTCACTACAAGAAAAATGATAAATTGCGACGGACAAATTGCGACGGTTATCTAAAAACCGTCGTCGCTTTGATATTGCGACCCTTCATACGACAGTTTTTCAAAACCGTCGCAAAATTGTTCAACATTGCGACGGTTTATCGTAAACCGTCGCAAAATTTGTTTAACATTGCGACAGTTAATCATAAACCGTCGCAAATTTAACATTGCGACAGTTAGTCATAAACCGTCGCAAAATTTTCAGCATTTTTTTTATTAGAATTTAAAAGTTTTTTTTTGAAGTATTATGTATATTATCTTAATGAACTTATATTTTATTAACAATTTTATATATACTTTCTTTAACATGAGGTACACGATTTTTTTTTCTTTATATAATTTCAAAATCGTGACTAGAATATAAATTTATCTTTCAACAAACTTATGAATTTATCTTGTATGTAAGATGTGTTAGAGTATATAAATAAATATAATTATCATTTTATAACTTAATTTTTGAGTTATCACATCACATATTATTGAATAATTTACAATGTTAAATTTTATAAATTTTATTTTAAATGTCCATCTTTTTAACACTATTAAAAATATAAAAATAAATATGTTAAATTTTATAAAAATCCAGTTTAATTTATTTATGATATAAATATGTTTTTAATATCTAATATATATTTTTAGATGATAATTTATTTTAAAATATATCTTATAATAACAATTCTAAATGGAACATAAATCTTCTGATTTTTCTTATTTTGATTTTTTTTGACAACATACATATACATTTCGGTAGCTTACTCATCAGAACTTCACAGTTAAGCGTGCTTGACCTGGAGTAGTACAGGGATGGGTGACCTTCTGGGAAGTTTCCCAGAAATTGCACAAGTAAGGATAAAACATGCTAAACAGTGAAATATCGTGAAATAAAATCCTTGAAAGGCCAAATATGAGGATTGTTACATTAATAAATTTATTAAAATAAAAAAAAAATTATAATTTCCGACGGGTAAAAAAAGGGTTGTAATATTAATTTAGAGGCAGTTGGTGCGACAGTTGATGAAAGGGTCGCAATGTTAATATAGAGGCATTTGGTGCGACAGTTGATGAAACGGTCGCAATTCCAATTTTGCGACGGTTTGTGCAACAGTTCTGATAACCGTCGCAAAATTGCCTGGTGACGGACAATTCTGCGACGGTTCCCAAACCGTCGCAATGTTGTCTTTGCGGCAGTTCTAACCATCGCAATGTAGGCCATATAACCGTCGCAAAATCATCATTTTCTTGTAGTGATTTTTCTGTACAGGTTTGAGAAATTTTAAAAAATGAATAGAATATTAAAAAAAATGCATTTTTTGTGGCAGGTCTAACCATTCCTGTCATAAAAAATGCATACTCTATGATGGGTAAGGTAAGACCTATGATAGATTGTGAATTTTTTATATCATGTGTTGACTTGTCATAGAATGTGTGGACAGTCTATGTCATTGTGATCTTTATCACATCTAGAGCTGACATAAAATATCCAAAATATCTAACATAAAAAGCCTGAACCACACTAGTGCCATGCATCACTACCAATATTATTGTTATCATTACAATTCTCATGGTCATCATTCTCAATCATTAAGATAATAATAACTTATTATTCTTAGAATAGTAGATTTAAGCCTAACTCAACCTTATAAAACCGACTTGTAAGGTGAGGGTTGCTTTCCACTTATATACTATTCAATTGCCTAATCTCTAGTCGATGTGGGACTTGGGTTTTTCCCAGTACACCCCTTCACGTCCCGCACTATTGGGCTTGGTACGTGGATAAATGGTGGGTGACCCTTTTAATGATATAGGATTGGGGGTACTTGAGTTTTTCCCAATACACTCCCTCACGTCCAGCACTATTGGGCTTGGTATGTGGATAAATGGTGGGTGACTCATTTTTAAAAATCTAGGATAGCTCTGATACCATCTTAGAATAGTGGATTTAAGTCTAACTCAACCCTACAAAACTGACTTGTAAGGTAAGGGTTGTTTTTCACTTATATACTATTCAATTGTCTAATCTCTAGTCGATGTGAGACTTGAGTTTTTCCCAATAATTATGATAATTATATTAAAAATAATATTGTAATAAATTTAATGTTCTTTTGTATGTGTCGTTCATTATTTCACCAAACAATATTTAGAACCAAGAGTTATTCAAATACCTGCATTTATTTTGTGCTATATATCTTGTTGTATATGTTAATGTATATTAAATACACACAAAAAAGCTATATAATTTGAAAATTTTTTTATTGATTTATAATATAAAACTTTTTACATTATTAAACTCATATAAGATTCACAAATTTAACTATTTAAATAAGCGCATTTAATATTGTTAATATTTTTTAAGATATAAGTACGTTAGCTTGTAAATGATTAGTGATAAGCTTAGCTGATAAGAGTTCCCTTCTTCGCTCACATAAATGATCAACGTGCATGATAAACGCCATGAGTGAAAGTTAAGCACATATTTGTCTTAGACTTGTATTAATTAGGTGGCATAACGAATTGAGACGAGAAACAGAAAGTATGGAATATTTAGACAATTAGACATATATTCCTTCCCTTTTTATCCATAAATTTTGGTATCTTATGTTTAGAATTATGCGACAAAAACTATAAGAAACAATCATTTTTTATATCGGTTAAAGAACGGTGACAAAATAATATACTATAAAAAATAAATATTTCTGTTATTTCTTCAATATAATGCAATACCATATAAGTTCTGATGACATTCTTTTTCAATCTAAATATAGTGTACTTCCATTTTCGAATAAACATCGTTTTAGAATATATTGTATAAATATTAATGAAAACTAAAAAAAAATTTCGTAAATCTTTGAAAAAAAAAACACGTTTCCAATTTTTCTTTATTTAAATTATTAGGTATTCTTAATAATTCATTTCTTAAAAAGAGAAAAAAAAAATTCAAAACATGTTTTGAAAAGAAAAGGATAGATTTGGGGGGAAATAATGACTTTTTAGTATTATTAATTAAATGATAGATAATTTGAAACAAAAAACCATTTTGCTAAAATAACACCTAATTGACAATAGAAACATTAGTAGGTATAATATAATATAGTTTATCGTGACACCAATTTGAGTTACTAAGATGAAGTTAATTATCACATTACAAGTTAATAAAAGTCATGGAGATAATATACGACACCTATTAACTTTAATTAAAAAAAAAAATTCAACCATATATATTTACGTAACACCTAAATGTTATCAAAATATTACCCCACTCAGCTGCTAGCTGAGAAGTATAAAAATCATGGCACATGAGTATGGTTTTTACTACCGGTTTCACTCTAATCCATGATATATATCCACAAATTTATTTACTTTAAAGTTAAATAAATAAACTAGTTTGCTGAGAGAACAAAAAGAAAGAAGCAAATCAATCACACATGACAAATTCTCAATGAAGACAATTTTTTAGAAAGTAATTATTAGGCTAGTATAATAATTGGGAGCCCCGTGACAGTCTAGCTTAGTTAACATGATAATGATTAAAATGCTTAGATGCCCCATCTTTGCATTAGTATATAATTAGATCTTGCAAGAGAAGGTAGAAAGAGAGATTTAGTAAAGTACTTCTAATCAGAAGGGCACCATCCACCTGGAGTACCAAAACAAAATCGTTTGAAATACTCTCTGCCCAATAGCTTCAAAGCCCTAACAAAAGTTGCTGTGGTTAAAGATATAACAATCATGTATGTTTTAAATTTTAAGGCAAAAACAATGGTATCTTATTCTCTTCTAACTGTTTAGGGTTTAGGGTTGGTAAAAATGTGCACTGGCTCATACAAATAGATTAGCTAAACTAAGTGCCCATTTTTTAAAATTAGATATAATTGATATTAATAAAATTAATTTTAAACCTTAAAACGTACTTAAGATGTGTGTACAAATAAAATTTATAGATTATGTCTGAACAATGGACAGAATTTACACTTTCTAATAAATTAACCTTTAGTGGCTATTATAAGCAAAAATTGTCCTATATCTTTAAACCTAAGGTACATATATATTCATTTATATGTACGTTACTTTGAATTCTTGCGGGGTCTTCTTGATATTTTTTAGAAAGTAAAAATAGACAATGACAGGCTCATAGTGCATTTTTAAAATGAGGACCTTATATGTCCTAATCCAGAAGTCCGCAGAGGATATAAATATTTATGATTTTCCTCTTCTTTCTACACATACTTCCAATGGAGGGCCATCTATGTGGCCATTCGGTATAAAGCACAAAAGCATGTGAAAAAGCATCTCCAAAATATTAATATCTTTGTAATTAATATATCTTTCTGATAAATAAACATTTGATTTGAAAATTTATGAAAACCCTAAAGGGAGTGTGTGGGCCACCTTCTGACTTCCACTTACTTATTCCAAAGACATAAACAAATAAAAAGTGAGGATTCCAATCAAATGACGCATCCCTTCACTCACTACTCTTCTATTCTATACTCCAATGATTCTCTTAAATTAAATTCCTTTTCTCTTGAGTTAAAGGTACGTAGTGCCAGCTCTATTCACAATATAGCAACAAGAAATTAATAAAGCTTCTTTATCTTCTGCTAACAACAATTTTTCCCTCTTGTTTAGTCTAACAAATAAGAACTTTCTCTATATTCAGCAATTTTGTTCTCATGACTAATTAATTAATCCCACTATTCTAAGCATAATTCTTCAATTATTACAACAACTTATTATTCTCCCCCCAATGGTCCCAATGTTGCCCAAACCCTGCATAATTCTGAATGTAGTTGGTCCAACAATGGCTATCTTTTGAAGGGTCATTTCCCTTTCTTTCTCTTTCAAACACATTTTTTCCCATCTCTTTTTTATACATCTTTTCCACATCCCAGCAGAACTAACTACCTTTACATATTTATGTGGCCTTCCTTGTCCTCTTTCTTTGTTTCTCTTTTCTTTCATCATATCATTCCCAACTTGGCCAGGTGTGTGATAAGGTACATGCATGCCCTAGCTAGCTACTTGCACCGGTATTGCTTCCGTGCTCAAATTCTCCATCAATCCATTATTATTGTTAGGCTAAAATATGTTGTAGATCCTTCAATTTTTCATTAAAATTTGGTTCTCATATTTTGATAATAGGTGAATTTGGTCCTTGTCCTAAAATTGTAAATTTATGAAGAGGACAAAATTCACTAATTATCAAAATATGAAAACAAAAATCATCATTTTTTAAAATATAAGAATTATAAAAAAATTGAAAGATCTAAAATGCATTTTACCCTTATTGTGATAATCATTGTTATCTTGAAGTTCCTCCGTATGTTGGTGTTGGTGTCCAAAAATCAAATGTGGTTTCATGAGTAACTGGAAATGTACTCGAAACCGGCACCAAGCACAGCCCTCGGCTTCTAAGATCCTGCTTTGGACCCTCAGCTTCCTTAGATTTACCAGAATTCTGCATCAAAAAGCTAAAAAGCATTATAACTCACTAAAATTGGAAAAAGTTATCCGCATCAGTGCTTGAGAATCAAATCTGAGCCTTACTCCCTTTCCTATCTCTTTCCTTTTCCTTCCAATGAGAATAGCGTTTTGATTCACATTATTTTTTCTTTAAAACTCTTTGTAACATATATATCAAATCATACATCATTTGAATATGAGTGAGAGATAAAGATTATTTTAGAATGAGTGCATTGTAAAAAAAATCATATACTAATGATTCAACACTAGATTAGCTAGTTTCCGCAGAATTAAAGTTACTCTCACTCAAACAGGATCAAAGATTAGCTAGTTTCCTTCGATATATTTTTTATTTAATGAAACAAAATTAAATTAGTAGTATAAATATAGTAGATTGTCACGGAAAATGCAAGAGAGAAATAGCAAGAAAATAGATAATTAAGAAGAAAAAAAGAATAAAGAATAAATGGCCTGTTAAAATAATGAGAAGAATATGAGATATGAGGGAAACTAGATGTATGTTTATAATTATTCGATTGACAATACGAAACAACATACTACGAGATAATTTTATTAGCATATAAAAATGTAATATTATTGATACATTAAATATTTGGTATATTATTTCATATTTTTAGTATAAACCAATAATATTTCTACAAATAATTTAAGAAATTCTTAATGCTAACATTTATTTGCTGCTAATGAATGATATAAGAATTATGTAATAAAGTGGGAAAAAGAATAACTGTAACTGATGTGGAAAAAAAAATCAGAATGCTAACAAAAAGTAGTGAAAAAAAGGTACTATTTCCACTCTTTTTTATTGGTTAGATTTTCAGTAAAATTTTATTTTTATTTATTTATTATTTTCAAATTTTAAGACAATATTGATTATTATTATTAATCATATTTTTATATTTCTCCTAAATTTTTTATTAATTTATTCGCAACTAATATGTATTTATTATAAAAAAAATGAAAGAGAGTATTATAAAAAGTATTAAAATTATTTTATAAAAAAATTATTATATTTCTTAATTTATATATAATAACTTTAAACCACTGTTATAAAGGAATAAAGTAAAAAAGGAAAAAAAAAAAAAAAAAAAAAAAAAAAAAAGGAGTATTGTCATCTAAAAGAGTAAAGCTCTCCGTTAAACACTTCCATTATTCGATTACAGAATCAAAGAAAGAAATAACAGATTCAATTACAGTATCTTTATGTACGTATGGTACCTGTTGAGTCTGTATTGGAGCTCCACTTTTCATATACGGAGTACTGAAAGTCTGTAGAAGAAAAAAAAACGAAAAAAAAAATATCCATAAGATGAAAATTTTGCCATTATTTTATTCATTTTTATGAAGCATATCGGAATGGGTAATGGGACTTACAGTGACCTGTTCGTGGAGGAGTTTGATGTATTCGATGGCTTCAGAGAGCACTGAGGCTGTATCAGTCTGACACACAATATATTTTTAATCTTATATCAATTTAATTAACCAGCATTATCAAAACTGCTATGATCGTTTAAATTTTTCTTATCCCCACTTATTACATAACATAAATTCACAAAGGAAATGATCATTATTCACTTAATAGGGTGTAGATAATTTTATTGAAAGCCCACCTTTCCGAAAGGCGACACCAATTGTTGGAGTGCAGTGATTCTGTCCCCCATCTTTTCTTTTCTCACCTAAGAGGCAAGAAAGTAGAATTACAGGTTCATATTTATGTTTATAGATTCAAAGGAAAGGAAATAAAGATAAAGATAAAAAGTTTAAAGCTTTCCCTTCTTGTTAAAAGGTTAGTTGCACTTATTGTACCTTAAAAGCTGGCAAAGGAGATGGTGTTTCGTTACGGGTCCTTTTGGGTGCTGGCTCATTCCCACTTTTCTTTACCACAGTACCCGAATCCCTAACTTCAGATATATTCTGCAAATTAAAACCATTCCCATATGATTTAATTATCAAATACAGTGCTTCAATTTAACTTTAATATGCGAATCTGTTGAGGAGTTTAAAATATTTTTTTTTATTTTTAATAAAAAAACTTTTAAAATCTCTTCTAAATTTGTATTCAAATAAATTCTATATAATCAATAATGAGAAGTTATATGTACACATTTATGAATGCATTTTTACTATTTTGTATACATATAATATATGAGTTATAAACTATGATAGTAGTACCTTTGATTGTACTTCAAAATATGGAGTGGAGAAGGGGGGTTGCAAGGAGGGGAAGGAACTATTAGATCGAACATCTTTGATGTTTGCAGGCTCAGAAGCATTCCAAAAGGGTGCGTTGTTAGTGAAATGCAACTGGTTATTAAGTGGTTGTTTTGGAGGTGAAGCTCTCAAGAATTGAGGAACTTTGGACCAAGAAGGGACCAACTCATTAGAGTTTAATCCATAGCTTGTTGGGTATGGAAAACTCATAGAAGGTTGTTGTTGATGAGGTTGGTTATTATTGTCAGGTTCCAATAGTCCTTGCAACATTGAAGGGTTCCCATATAAGGCTGAGGAATCCATCTGAAAATTAGAAGAGGGTAACCCTTGGCTTGTCACTGTGCTGTCACCAGAGCTATATTGAGGACTAAACTGGCTTTGATCCAAAGAGAAACCCCTATTCACCTGCTTGAACTCATTGCTTGATGACTCTACAGAAAACATCTTCTCTGACCTCCATTGAACTTGTTGAGACAACCCCATCCCAGTTTCTTGCTGAAAATTGGCTCTTGATGAGCCCAAATTCTCTTGCAACATCGACCTGAAACTGTTCTCGGGACCCTTTTGATCTCCTCGCCTATCACCATCAAATAAAAAGTCACACAATCTAATTCCCATGAAGATTGATCAAATATTTACTCTATTCTATTATCTAAAAATAATAATAATAATAATAATAATAACAACAAAAACTTTTTTCTCATCAGATAGTGGGTTACATGGATCACACAACGTTATTTAACTCGGTTAAAGATCATATTATCATATCAGATCGTCGGCTATGTGGATCACAAAACGTTGTTAGACTCGGTTAAAAAACATGTTCTTGTTATAAATATTATTTACTAGTGTTATCACACAAAAATAAAGAGATAAAATTTATAAAAAAAAATTGTGGGTAGTTTGATTATGTGTTTGACTTGACACAAATTGCATGCACTTACAACAAAGATGCTTGATTCCAATCCATGGCTTGGGATGAAAGGCCTAGAGCCATCATGTGCAAGTTGGGGTCAGTGGAAGTGGCAGAATCTGGTGGCCGAAGCTTATTCTGTGATTCATGGAAAACCACAGAAGAAGAATCCATGGAAGACCTTGGCTTCATGGCAGCCATATCTGAAGGTTGCCAACCAAAGTTGGTGATGGGAGAGGAAGATGACTGTGATGCCCCGCTCACGTTTCTTGCTGTGTCCCACCAATTCCCACTTGCCTGAAACTCATCATCTCCCATGCTTGATGAATCCAACAAATGTTGCTTCAGCCTCCACTATCTATGAATTATCAAAATATGTGTATGTAAAGAAATAGAAACTAAACTATATATATATATGTGGTTGCATCACTAAGCTATATGAATTGTGAAAATATCTTTGTATTTGTGTTGTGAGTGTTGAGTTTGAGTAAAATGAATGGAAAACGATTCGCTACTTCTCAGTATTTATATTGGCAGCTGAAGAGAGAAAGACGATTGATGAATGAATCAATGAATGAGAAGAGTAACCGACTAACCGGATTATGGTTGACACTTTGATAATTCAAAGGGTCATTGATAAGACACGGGAATTTAATTAAAGGTTCAGTTTTTTCAAATCGAATTTGGCTTATTCCTTTATGTTATTATTATTATTATAATATTTTACAACAGTTCTTTTCAATTTCTATTTTTCCAGTTGTTGCCTGTCTCCATAGTCTAAATTTTCAACAAAATTGAAATTTTGGTGAAAATGACAGAACCTTTAAAGGTTAATAATATATATATAAAAAAAATGGGAGTTCTATGTATGATCTCAACTAGGAATGTAAACAAAATCTGTATCACGAATATTTGTAGATAAAATTTATTATAATTAAAAATAAATATTATAAATGTCTATTCACAACTAATCATTAATATTCAATTATATTATCATATATTAAATTTGTTTAAATTTATATAAATAAAATATTTTAATAATTAAATTTAATTTTAAATTAAATAATCTTGATTAATAAAATTATGTATAATATTTGATTAATTTAAGTTTTGATTTTTAAATTATTATTTATAAAATAATTATTAAATAAATAGAAATTATCATTAAAATATTTTTAAAAAATATTTTCTAAAATAAATATATGAATATCTATAAATATTCATAAATATTAAAAAAATACTGAGTACACACTTAACAAATACCTACAATGAGAATAAGTACGAGAAAGACATTTATCCAACAAAACAAATAACGAGAGATAATTATTTGTACTCGTTCTACTTTGTTGACACCCCCTAATCTCAACCTTAAATATTCCCTTGGAAGTTGGAAAAAAAAAAGTTTCCTTTTAATAAACTTTTGTTTCAAATTTTAAATTTTGGCATTAATTAAAAATTCAATCTTAAATTAATATGATAAAACAATTTTATTTACATTAACTTAGAGCTAAAGAAAATTTCAATTATCATGTTATGAATACTAAATATCTACAAATTTTTATAAAAAAAATTTGACTAGACAAATTTATTAGGATATATTTCCTTTCCAACTATATATATTTTTCTTTCACAAAATTGAACTCAAGAAATTGTTTAAAGGATATAAATTTATTTATGCTTAGTTCAATAACATGTATTTTAAGTAATGAAAACTGAAGGAAATTTTTTTTGAGAAAAATATTTATTATATAAAACATAAAGTATATTAAATACTTGTTTTATCATAATTTTTTTAATTGGTTAAAATTAGCAATAATTAATGTCATATATTTTTATAACTGCTGAAAAATGATTAAAATACAAAATAATAGACATGATAAAAGAGTAAACAATAATTAAATAAAACCAGTCAATGATATAAACACAATTATTTATACAATATGAAAAACATAAAAATCCGATATGTAAATGTGTACATTTCTAAATTTTCTTTAGAAAGGCGAGCTTTGTGTAGAAAAGGTCCCCACTGAAAGAGGTGACTTAATCTCACTAATATATTGTGAATTTTTTTACTTAAATATTGTCCAAGGAATATTTGTAAAAGAACTAAAACAAATTACTTTTGTCCAAAAAAAAAATGTTTCATTGTTTATCTTTTTTCTTTCATATTAAAAGTTCGAAATAGCTAATACTTTTCTTTTGCAAACAATTGAAAAAAGAGCATGTATTATTGGACTGGCCTGGCTCATCCCAGGTTGCCTCTTCTAGGATTCTATAGAAGCCTTGCTTTCTTTAACTATTTTTGCTGAGTAAGGGTACCTTTTTTTTTTTCCTATGGATTCTATTCATTGTACTTTATCTATCATCGTGTTGTTAACTTTTTGTCAAACCAGTTCTCCAAATTTATACATATTGTCACGATAGATTTGTAAAAGAAACAACTATTAATTTATATGTAAAAAAAAATTACCATATTTTTAAATTATAATAATCACGTTTTATAGAGGACTAAATTAAATGGAAATATGAAAAGTCTTAAAAGAAATAACCTGAGATGAATTAAATTTTTTAAAAAATAAAGACAAAACTTTCACTGACTAAAATGAAAACAATAATAATAATAATAATAATAATAATGCATATAATTTTCAAAGACTATACGTGCAAAATTTACTCTATCTTTTTATTCGTGAGCGTATAATATATAACCAAAACAAAAGGTAGATAAATAGCTATTTGAAAGTGTGATGAGCTATGTTCTTTACTTCTTCTGGCAAAATAAAATTGCAATGCCAAACAAAAGAAACTAAAAAGAAAAAGGTGAGGACGCTCTTGCCAATGATTATTTCCTGCAATGCCAGCCTACTTTTCTTCTTTTGTTTTTTCCTCCTTAGTAGCATATTTGTTATGCATTTCGATAACAGTAATCACATATACATAAACGATGCCTTGTGATAGGATTTAATTGTTTTTGAAAATAAGAGTATTATTATTAGAAATATTTTTCTCATTAAAGATATATATTTGGTAAATTTATTGTTTTAAAATATTTTAAATTAATTTTAATTCAAAAATAAAAATATTTGATAAATAAATCAATAGAATAAGAGGAAAGTAAAAAAGTTATATGAAAGTTGTGTTAGAAAATAATTTCTATTCTAATGTAATATAAACATTCTCAGTCTTCACATGGGAATAGAAATGGAGTAAAATATTATATATAATAGATTATTGAGAATAATTAAGAAAATTGTCAATGTTACTTTCTCTAACAAATTTGTTTTGCTAGTACTTTCTTTATTATTGATCAAAAGATATAAATTTTAGTAGATCTTACCACTAAATTAATAGAGAAATTGGTTAAATGTGAGATGAAAGACATACAAAATTTATTATTTATAATAAATTTCAATCAATAAAAATGTATTTTTTATACCAATAAAAAAAAGTGTTAGAAAGAGAGCTTGCTAACATTCTTCTTTCCCACATTTCAATGCAATTTCAATGTCAAATCTATATATTTTTATATATAAAGTCTATTTGGATAAATTTTTTCATAAATATTTGTAAAAAAAATAGAAAGAAAAAAATTAAAAATTCTTAACTTAAACATAAACTAATATGTAGAAATGTTCTCATATAAACTTAAAAAATGTATTTTTAACTTATACAAAAGCTAATTTTAATTTAAGATAAACGTATTTAATTTTTTTCTTTATTATTTTTCTCTTATAATTTTTTTCTGATAAATTTATCTAAATAAACTCATAGTATATGTTTCATCATGTTAAACTTCATCAAAGTTAAGATAAATAAATAATTTTTATTTTTGCATATCTTGTTAGTTTTGATGTGGATTGTATCTTTAACACTGAACAAAACAAATATAAGTAAATGTTTGGATTAAAATATAAATTTTAATCAAAAGTTTGTTGTAAACTCAAGCTTGATATAAAAAAAGATATGAGTTTACTCTAAAGTAATTTACGTTTGGATATTTTTTTGTTAAAAAGTATGTTGATAAAATGAAATTTGTTTGAATAATACTAATTAAACATACTTTTAATTCATCTTGATGTTGAATTAAATACTATCAGCGAAAAATTTACAAAGCAATCCATATGTTACTTCTAATTCAAACTCAGTTTTGGATGAAATGCTGGTGAAAAAGTGCCTTCTAAAAACAATCAAACATGATGAAAAAGTAAGTTTAGCAGTCCAAAAATATGTTGAAGTAGCCTAATAGATAATTCAAATTGAACAAGATATTTTTGACTCAAATAGAACTGTCTATAGTAAAATAATATTTGTAGTATAGATCAGAAAAATTTGTACAAGATAATTATATATTTTTTCTTTGTAATTTAAATGATACTAAAATACAGAGACTTGATTTATTAGGATTTTATTAATGTTTTAGAAATGAAGAAATGGATTGAATTTAACGAGTCGATCTATTTAATCTGTTAAAACAGGTTGAGTTGAGTGATTTAACTCTTTTAATTTACATAACCTACCAACCTTATTAATTAAAAGGACGTATTGGATTAAATTAACCCATTAAGTTGGTTTTTTTATAATATTTTTACATATAGTGTAGTTAAATATTATTTTTTTAAACCTAATATTTTGCAAAGTATTATGAGTTTCATGTTATTTATTATTTGATTCTCTCTCTGTAAGTAGAATTTGATAGGTTTTAAGTAGAATTTGACTACCTATTTTATTGGACATAACTTTTTCTTTATAAATAAAAAATTGGAAGATCAATCAAATTAACTTTATGATGGTTGGATTTTTAAACTTATTCTTAAAACGGACCCAATCAAACACTTTTTTTTTTTTTTTTTTTGGTGTCGGGTTGAGTTGAGTCAAGTTGACATTTAAACATATTTATATTTCACATTCAGAAAAATTAATGTAAGAGACATTCTCTTAACACTTTTTTACTAATACTCTTTCTATGATTTATTAAAAATCACAAATTTTGAAAGTCCTATCATTAAATCATAAGAGAAACTTATTAAATGAGGTGTTAGACCAACAAAAAATTTTATTTCTAAGAAATTTCAGCCAATAATAAAAAAAAATGTTGGAAGAAGTGTTAAAGATATGGTTAATTACCGTATCATTTTCTACCAAATAAATGAGTAAAACACACTTTCTAAATTTTGTAATTTATAGGCTAGAAATAATGCTTGCGTAAAAAAAAAATAAATTCTGTTAATCTAATTAAATGAGATTAAAGTTGGCCAAATTAATAAGGTTTATGTTAATAAAATTATATAAAAGAAGTCTTCAATGTAATTTTTCTAATGAATCAGCACCGCGTCATTTATAATTAGGCTTGTGTCTTTAATCTTAAAATTAGTCAACTCTTTTTTTTCTTCTTCACAAGCCTAATTTTCACCATTAAAAAGAAAAAATACATTGACCTATAAAGTTTGTTACATGATGACCTAATTGAACACCCGGTAATCATGAAAACAGGTCAGCTTCATCATGCTTTTTAAAACAGGTTTGGCTTGTTTTCCTAATGCAAAGAACATGTTTAAGCACGACTTATTACTTGATAAAGATAT